CTTTCGTAGACGAGTTGTGTCTTCGAGTTTTGTAAATGACGATACATAGTCATACGGAAATACACCTTTTCTTTTCAGTAAGGCGATCTGTGGCAATGTATATCCATAAACTTGCTCCAAAATTTCGCTCTAGATTATCGTGTTTTTCAAGTGCGATTCTAGTTTGTTGAGAGAAAACGCCATAAATCGAAACGAATCGACGAAAAGCAGATTTATATCGGTACCTTCTATGTACTTGGTAAAAGATATATATTTTTCCTTGGTTTGAGGAATAAGGCTAACTCGGCCAGTACATTCGTTCGCGATTTCTTTGATAAATAGATGCGCATCGCATTCACTGAAATTAAGAAAAAACACGGGTATAGTCCTTGATTCTTGATTAGTAATGTTACGTGTACTATAAACAGCTCCACGATACTTTCCAGTAAAATGACAAAAATCGCGAACTCTTGTGTCTTTTTTCTTGTCGAAAGGTTTATTACATACATGACATATCGTAGCATGAAGAAAGCTAAATGTCTCTCGGAACGTTAAATTTTCCATAAGCTGTGAGCTTTTATACAACTCATGCAGATACTTGGCCAAATCATAAAAATTCTGAACAAACCACTTGGCTGGACCAATATCATCGACAATATTTTGTCTGTAGCTTTGATAACATGGAAGAGAGTCATCATAGTTATATATTTGACGAAAAAACCAACACTGTACGGTTCGTGACGTTTATAGATCCGTTCATCGTTAGACACCGCTTCCAAGAGACTCAAAATCAGCGTACATAACAATGAGTGCTAGGCACTAATTTTTAAAACTCTTAAATTGTAAAAATTTATCCTTTTCACTGGGAAGTACAATTTTACCTCGTATATTAACATTTTTACAGTCAATCTTATACGTTTTCAATCTATGTTCAATTAGAAAATAGTGTAAGCAATGATAGCATATGTATGACTTACATCTGTGAAATGACAACTGTCTATACATCAGTCGAGATAAGTCTTTTATCCAAATATAGTGCACTTTATAAGGTATATTAGGACGTTTTACTTGCTTCTCGTTCACATCGGCATTAACGTTGATTTAATAACTTTCCACTAGGAGAAGGTTCACTTTTAAAGAACTATGCTCCTTCAAAGTCTCCTTAATTTGCACATGGAATAATGGTTTAGCAAGCCTCAAAAACGTAGTCAAATCCAGATGTTTCAGATTGGTTGTTAGACCAGTCTTTATTCTGTCTTTTAACGCACTATTGATGTCGTTCCAGCGGGCTTTGAGTCTTGAGTTGGATTGACAATAGCCGGTGTAGTACTAGCCGGTTTGAGGCCTCCCCAACTACATCTAAAATAATGAGAGGTTTATATATCGATTGTTCACTATGCTTGCTCACAATAGGTACAGCAATCGATGAAGTAGCAATGGGTCATGCCAACTGCCTAGTTTTGTATTCATTTAGCAGATGTAAAACGCTTCTACACATAGTTGCCTACAGGTCCTGTCTGCCAGTCACGATCAATTTAGATGAACGCAAAAGCTGATCCGGCTTCCGTAAAGCCAATGAACCCAGTATTAACCATCATTCGATGTCTTCGACACTTGCATGACCAGACGATGTGCGCGAAAAAGCAACAAGGCTATGTTCTTGTAATGCTGAGCCATGATGCTAATTACTTAGCTGAGCAGATTTGACAAATTCATCACGTTATATTCACTACTCGTCAATGCTAATTGGTTGGCAAAAGTATGAAGTGGGGGTGAACGATTGTGATTGATCGAAAAATTATAGTGGTAATAAAAAAAATGTTATTTCAAGCAGAAAAGAATCTAATGGGTTACAAAAAAATTGGCAGGGAATCAACAAGTGCAATCCCAGCATAAAAAGGCATTCATTTTGTTGTAGACGTACAGGGCTTCAAAACTTTCTTAAACCAATTCGTATTCAAGAAGATTGCTGTTTGTGTTCTGGAAGAAGATCCAACTACATCAGTGCTTCTGTTTAAACCACCTTACCTAGGGGGGTGGTTATTTAAGAAAAATCAGTGCGAGAATCGGTGGTTAGCGAGAAATTTTTATGGTAATCCATAGGGATCGGGCGATTTACCATATAATGATCTTGGAAAAATCATGAAAAAAATACTTTTTAAAGCAACTATTGTTATCAAAGGCCTTGAAAAAACAAAATGGTTAAGAAGTTTGTTGATCAATGCACAGTAAGTTTTTTTTTACAGATTATTTTTATAGCGGAAAGTTGAGATTTTCTCCTTCATTAAAAAATGCCATACATGCCATCCATACATTTCTTTTAATAATTTCCAAAATTTATATAAAATCTATCATTGGGATTCGATTAAATATTTGAAAACAAATTTAAAATAAAATTAATATTATGGGGAATCGAACCTGCGCTCTAAGCATTCGCACGTCAATGCTCTACCGCTTGAACTGTGACAACTCTTATAGGTATAGTACGTGCTGACTATATTAACTTTTGATTTAGTAAACAAGAATAAAAATTATATCAATTGTCTTTAATATAATGATTATAACTTAAAAAATACCTATCTTATACTTACCTGCTGCTTCCACTGAAAAGAAATATATTAGGAATAAATAAATAAAACGTAAGATTACATGTTATTAATAATTATCTTTTTTTTGTTTATACGTTATGTTATGAGGAGTGGTCAATAAGCCTTTACAAAATCCAAGAGATGGCGCTTGTCACGTTTAAATATGATGTTTTTGGCAATAAATACTACTAACTAGATATCGTACATAGTTTCAGCTCGATTTATTAACCCTTTAGCCTATAGCCACGAGTCTGACTCGTGGTAAAGAATTTGTGCCATAAGCGAAAACAACGAGTCTGACTCGTGGTAAAGACTTTGTGCCATAAGTGAAAACCACGAGTCTGACTCGTGGTAAAGAATTTGTGTCATAAACAAAAGCCACGAGTCAGACAGTTGAATGGCACGGCGCGCGAACGAATTTCTTGCGTATTATAGCTCGCGCAATTGGTAGATATCGTGTAGGCTAAGGGGTTAAGTCGTTTTTTGTGAGCGTTGGTTGAACAAAAAGTTATTGGTTTATTTGAAAATAAACGATTCCGTCTTCGACGGAAGATCTATTCAACAGCAAGCAGCCTTCGTTATCACCACTACCAGTCAGCCACTACACACCGTCATTGCCGGGAACAAGCGGCTGACTTTTGTAAGTGATTGGCTAGACAGCGGACCACGCTACAAAATAGCGAAATTCTTCACTGGATCTGGCGACAGCAGTAGCAGCAGCAACATTTAAGCATATAATTTTATATATATTTTATAAATCTTTTTATAATAAATGTTGTATTTTTATCAATAAAAAAATTTATTTTTTCATCTTGGTCTTTACAGGTACTTGCACTTTTTTTATTAAACTATCTTCGGTAGGTGACACACATACACACACACATACACATATTAAACTACGAAAAAATAATTCATACTATACTAATTATAATAAATATTTAGATATAATAGCATTATTAGTTATGTACAGGGTGACCCAATTTAAACAGGCACCGCAAATAACTCGTCTGGGACGGCTCCAATCGAACAAATGGTAGAGACCAAAGTTGTAGCATATAGAAAGGGAAGTCAGATGGTAATCTTGTATTTGACCTTGAACGCGATTTTCAAGGTCATTTGAAGGTCAACTTGTAATTTTTAAATAGGAACCCTACTTTTTTATTGCGCGAATGAAAAGAGCGGGAAATATTACGTTTAGAATGGTATGTTTGGTTACGGTACCGGAGGTTATCTCAAGGCCATGCAGCCAGTTTTAAACCCCACCAGCACAAGTCCTGTGGCAGGGCCCCAATCAAAAAAATGATAAAGACCAAAGTTGTAGGATGTTGAGGTGGGAATCTAATAGTGACCTTGGATTTGACATAGTCTATTAAGGTCATTTCAAGGTCAATTTTTTTTTAACAGTACCCTTTCTTAACTTTGGATCGTGAAAGCGCATAAAATCGCTGTTATTTATTGGTTTTTTGAGTTTTAGAAATAGCCAAAAGTCACAGGGGGCTATATCGAAACTGTATGGAGGTTGTCGAAGCAATGTGATACCATATTTACTCAGGAACTGCTATATAAGATTCGATGAATACGCTGGTATATTATTGCGATGGAGAGACCTGTCACTACTTGATCAAGAATGCGGGCGTTTTTTTCTCACTGCTTGACGCAAATGTTTTAAAATTTGAACGTAATATTTCTTATTGATAGTCTAATCTATGTTTTTTATTGATACTCTAACCTGTACATATTCATGGTACACAACACCTTCACAATCAAACAAAACAATCAACATTAACTTAACATTATTCCGTACGACTTTGTCGTACATTTTTTGATCTTGGCGATCCAGAGTGCCACTGTGAAGACTGCTGTTTTGTTTTAGAATCATAACTCATGATTCATCATCAGTAATAACCTACTCAAGCACACCATCATTATTATTGACCATCGCTAAGTTATTCTGAGCAATTTCTAAGCAAAGTTTTTTTGTTCTACACTCAGCATTTTCGGAATGTACTTCGCACACATGCGTGTCGTTTGTAAATTTGAGGCTTAAATTTCCTAAATTATAGTTTTTTGTTTTCCAAGATCTTCTAGTACTTATCCAGTCATAAGACAATCTTATTCGATTGCAAGTGGTAGCTGCTCAATATTATCCAATGTTTTTATCGTCAAAGATCGGCCAGAATTAGCATCACTATCAAAAGTAAAACAACGATAAAAGTTTTTTGGGATGGTTAAGAATAACAATCCTAATATATGTATATAGGCTCGGATGTTGTCATTAAATCTATTTACTTGTCGATGGCACAACCGTGACCTACAAATACGATAATTACTTCTATATATTGAGTTATTTATACTTAGTCGTATATATTATTTAAATATATAAAATATTATTATAATTAAATTATTAATGATATCTTCATTATGTCATCGCAGTCGTCTTCAAACACAGTTAGAAATTATTATATCAATAAAGATATATCCGGAAGATGGATTAAACAAAATACTGTAGATTCTTTATCACTTGTAGAAGATTCAAAAGATTCAAACATTTTATTTGAATTAAGAGGATATTCAAAATTAAAGAAAGAATATGAATCAGAACACATAATTTCGGAAGAATTGAAAATTACTAGAAGTGATGATGGAAATGGTAGAGAAAAAGGCATAAGGTATGTATTTCGTTTGAGGAATAGTTATAATACTTCATAAATATTATTCCAAATATTATTTTATTCAAAATTAATAAATATTCATTATGTTTATATTTATACATGACGCATGATAGATATAAATGATTACACCTAGACTAAAAATATTTATAATCAAGACACTCCACATAGGTATTCTTATATATTAAATAGAATTATGAATTATAAAAATAAGACTTATTAAATAGAACTACAGGTCTAGTATTTTTGCATTACTCCTCACTTATTTTATAGTAAGATTGCTAACTCGTTATACCTCTCTCTTCCTCTTATTCAGTAGTCACTTATATATAACCCATAATACTATACGAAAATTATTATATCAATTTATATTAAATACATATGCTCATGTTCCTACATAAGGTAAGTGAGAGCGAAGAGAGTTAGACAAAAGCGTAGGGACTCGCTTAATACATGAGAGTAGGACGCGGAGAGAGACAAGGACACTAGCGTCACTGAAAAGAACCGCATGCGCTTATCTGTCACTAGAAATGAAACGTAAAAGAGAGCACGCGAAGACAGTAGATGTTTCTTTGGCTTGCTCACGAGCAGCCGCATGTGCCTCTAATCCATCACGTCGCCTTTTTTTCGTCCATTTGATCCAAGCAGGAAAAAATAAAACATGTTTGCCTAGGATCAAGGGCCTAGAAGTAACGACTACGCCCCGGTGCAGCCCCAGGAGTTATTTCCGTGATGCAGTGACCGCCGAATAAATACGTAGTAGTGCAGTACGAAATTACTAGTCGCTGCTTACGTTGCCGAGAAGGCTGTGTACGTTGCATGCACCGGGAACTTTTGCGATTATGCTTCCCTTATCAAGCCCGATCCCGTCACCTGCGTGAACGCACAGTTTGTAAGTATCGGTTTGATAGTCCATTCTCTCTCGCTTAGCTCGACACACACTGTCTCTCTCATGCTTCTGTTAACCTAGCTCCATTAAAAATTCGTTGATATACGCCTATGTGAACCCTGTTAATAATTTCGAACGCTTTATTTCTTTGCGCCGATTTTTATTAGCGTATTTTCAGCGATAACCGCAAATTCACGCAGTTTTAGCCGTCCAGTAGATGGCGGAACCTGATTTCACAGCTACGTTACAACATTCAAAAATCTTTAATTTTATGCTAACAAAGTGAAACGAACTCAATCCTCGGTACAATTTTATAAAACAAAAATTCTCTCTGCAATAAAAATTAATTCAAAAACTCTTTTATAAATTAATTATCTACAAATAATTAATCTGTAAACGAACACGCAATGGAAATATACAGGGTGACCCATTTTAATCTATGGACCCGAATTGCTTCTAAACCACGACATCTGCAAAAAAATGTTTCAGACAAAAGTTGGTCAAGACAAAGGGGGCCATTTGACGGTACCATTAGTTTTGACCTTGAAGTTAATTTTGAAGGTCATTTCAAGGTCAAAATGGTTTTTTCAAATGGGAACCCCTATTTTTGAGTGCGGGTTTGGAAAGAGCGGAAAATTTTAAATCAACATTGTCTTATGCAAAAATTTTTTTTGTGACCTTGGAAAGGTCAAAAATGAAGGTCAAATGTCTGAAAAAACTATAATTCGTACTTTTTCTAAAATGACGTGGTTTTCTTGGTAATATTACCGTTCATAATGCTTGTGAAAGATCAATAAATTCTAAGGGTGTTAATTACTTTGATTAGCTTGACCTTGGCATCAATTTTCAAGGTTATTTGAAGGTCATAACGCATTTTTTTATTGGTAAACCATATTTTTGACTGCAGTCCCTGTTTTATGATATTAGGTCCTAAAAGAATGTTACTTCTTACATGATGATAGAGATTTCTTAGTTTTTTAACCTAATCTTAAGAAGGTCATATCAAGGTCAGTTTAGGAATCTTTGTTCGATTGCTGATTCTTCTTCAGACATGAGTGGCTTTTTGTAATACAAGGAAAGTAAAACAAAAGTACTTTTATCTTACTTTTAGCATTACCCGGAAACAACGACGTGGACATAGTAAGTTCTGTTTATCGTGAGCCCCCTTGCCTCTCACGTCGGGGTGCTAGATGATCGTGAGTCCCCTTGCCTCTCACGTCGGGGTGCCAGATTATCGTGAGTCCCCTTGCCTCTCGCGTTGGGGTGCTAGATTATCGTGAGTCCCCTTGCCTCTCACATCGGGGTGCCAGATTATCGTGAGTCCCCTTGCCTCTCGCGTTGGGGTGCTAGATTATCGTGAGTCCTCTTGCCTCTCACAATGGCTGCGGTTAACCACGGATAAATTGTTCAAAGATTTCTTCGTTGGCTTGAAGACACATGCGTACACGTCTTTCAAAACTGTCCACAGTCCTGAGCAATGTTTCTCGAGGAATGGCTGCGCAAGCTGTACGGATTCGTTCCATCATATCCTCCCTCGAGGTTGGCCGTTGTGCAAAAACAACATTTTTCACGTACCCCCACGAGAAAAAGTCGGGTGACGTGAAATCCGGCGAAGAAACAGGCCATTCAATTGGTCCTCCTCGTCCAATCCACCTGCCATCATAACGATTATTTAAAAAGTCCTGTACAATACGTGCAAAATGAGGCGCAGCACCATCTTGTTGAACCCACATTCTTTGTCACTTTGCCAAGTCAACATTTTCCAAGAGACTGGGTAAATGGTCCCTTATCAACGCTAAGTAGCTATGCCTGTCAACATTTTGATTAAAAAAGTAAGGTCCAATAAGATATCCGTTTACGATTCCGCACCAGACCATGAGACTCCATCGATTTTTATGGTTTACAGCTCTAAACCAGTAAGGATTTTCGTGTGACCAATAGTGACAGTTATGTCTGTTCAGCTGCCCGTCGCTGTAAAACTTAGCTTCGTCGGAGAAAAGTAAGTATCGAAAAAAATAGGGATCATTTTGTATGGTTTGCAAAGCCCATTGGCAGAAATTAATTCGCGATAAAATATGACGCGGCTGTAAGGCTTGCGTTAGAGTGATGTGGTAAGCGTGATAATTTAAATATCTTAAGATTCTCGAAACTATACTTTGCGGTATACCCGTTTCTCTTTCAATCTGTCGAGTACTAATGTGCGGATCTAAGTGGACAGCTGCGAGAATTGTTAAGGTTCAAACATCATTATCTTTATAATCATGATGACGGCGTTGGCGAACAAGGTGCCCTTCGCGAGCTCTTTCAGTTAAGGTTCTTATTGTCATATCAGAAGGGTGTCTTCTATCTGGAAAGCGTACAGCATAAAGTCTTGATGCAGCGGCGAAATTGTTGTGACATTCTCCTAAAATTAATATCATATCAACAATTTGTGTTGGTGGATAATCAGCCATATTACGAAATTTCTTCCGGATCAAGTACAAGAAGTGTGAATAGTGATTTAATAACGAGGTAGATTTCAAGGAATAAATAAAATATTACAAATAAATCAATGGCTAACATAAGCTCAATTTTTTTCAATAATACAATTAAAAGTAGTTGAAAAATGATAGTACCACGATAAATTTCGCCATCTAATGAAAATCGGTCAATCTTTGAGCATTAATATCTCGGAGACAAAAAATAAAATTTTAAGTACGTTTTAAATCTTGAGTCAGATCTTTCAATCAGTTATTATTTTAATTCGTAATTAATAAAAAGAAATTGTATCAATAAGCTAGGGCCATTCTGTGTTAGATCTTATACATATTTATTGATACAGCAATATCAAAAATAAATCTAACAGTGGTGAACGCAGTACGAGCTTCAGACTAGGGGTTAAGCGATTTTCGAGTGCATTTTAAAGAAACTTGAAACAAAAATTAGCTAGACCAGGTACTGTACTCTGAAAAAAATTCTGAAAACGAAAGGGAACTTCGAACAATTAATCCGTGGCTAATCGAACGTGAGAGGAAAGGGGAATCGAGATAATCTAGCACTCCGACGTGAGAGGCAAGGGGACTCACGATAATCTAGCACCGCGTCGTGAGAGGCAAGGGGACTCACGATAATCTAGCACCCGAAAGGAAACAGAACTTACTACGTCCACGTCGTTGTTTCCGGGTAACGTTAAAAGTAAGATAAAAGAACTTTTGTTTTGCTTTTCTTGTATGTAAAAGCCACTCATGTCTGAAGAAGAATCAGCAATCAAACAAAGGTTCCTAAATTTACCTTGATATGATCTTCTTAAAGTCAGGTTAAAAAACTAAGAAATCTCTGTCATCATGTAAGAAGTTACATTCTTTTAGGACCTAATATCATAAAACAGGGACTGCAGTCAAAAATATGGTTTACCAATAAAAAATGCGTTATAACCTTCAAATAACCTTGAAAATTGATGCCAAGGTCAAGATAATCAAAGTAATTAACACCCTTAGAATTTATTGATCTTTCACAAGCATTATGAACGGTAATATTACCAAGAAAACCACGTCATTTTAGAAAAAGTACGAATAATAGTTTTTTCAGACATTTGACCTTCATTTTTGACCTTTCCAAGGTCACAAAAAAAATTTTTGCATAAAACAATTTTGATTTAAAATTTTCCGCTCTACCCAAACCCGCACTCAAAAATAGGGGTTCCCATTTGAAAAAACCATCTTGACCTTGAAATGACCTTCAAAATTAACTTCAAGGTCAAAACTAATGGTACCGTCAAATGGCCCCCTTTGTCCTGATCAACTTTTGTCTGAAACATTTTTTTGCAGATGTTGTGGTTTAGAATCAATTCGGGTCCATAGATTAAAATGGGTCACCCTGTATATTGCGTGTTCGTTGTATCTTTGGTGAATTGTAACGATGTTAATCAAGAGTTACGTAGCGAGTCGCATCCGAGTAGGCACGCAATACCTATGAAACAACAGTAGTGTGACATTCTTTCCAACATAAGATGTCGACTCCAGCCTCTGGTAAAAATTATCGCTGATACGTAATCGACATCGTTACTTCTAGAGCTTAAATTGAAAATCTTAATATTATAAGAAAAAAGTTTAGGGTTAATATACACGGTGAG